AAAGACATGCCATTCTTTGCCACACAGAGCTCTAAGAGGGCTGAAGAACAGCTCTGTAATTCTGGGCTATGGGAAATGAAATCTGAACCCCAAAGGCTTTCCCTGCTTTGCTTCCTTTGCATATGCTTCATGCTTGAGAGGGCTGGAAGCACAGAGCCCCTGGCACTGGGTTTTATACAGAAGTACTGGATCGTAAGAGAAGCAGACATGTAGGGAAATAAAGAAATGCGAATATAATTGGTAACACTCAAATTTCTTATATGCGAATCCATGCACAAGAAATGACCAGTAACACCTGGTAAAAGCATTCTCTAGCAGAAGATGGGAGCCAGAGCACAAAATCTCCACAGTAAACAGCCCTCAACAAACCAAATACATATAAAAACCTCACTTGCATAATGATTAACCTTCCCAAGAGAGAAGGTAAGGGAAATCTCACTGCCAGCAAGTGAGCCATTTGTAAGACCTCATCTGGAAAACCAAGTACAACGGTGGTCACTTACGTTCAAAAGAACTGAAGTGAAACAAGAGCTGGTACACAGAAGAAATAAATCAGGTGAGGAGGAGAGTCAGGAGAAGAGGTTAAGAGGGACTGACTTACCAGATCTGGCAAAGCAAAGACTGATATGAGATGCAAGTGGCATCTCCAGAGGTACCAGGCAGGTCAAAGAGCGTATGTTGGAAGACAGAACTGAGACACAAAGGCCAGTATAGGTTGGAAATCAAAAGACAAAGGTTTTCAAATCTCTCTTTTGACAGATATGCCAGGAACTAACAGCTTAGAGTATTGAATTTTTTTAAAATCAATAGATGAATACAGTTGTGAAATACATCCTGTAAAATGGTGGCTGCAGAGGACACGTAGGCCTACAGTATCCCCTTCTCCTGCAACGTCAGGACAATTGCGGGGTGTCCCTTAGAACAGCACTTGGTCTATCTAACAGTCAGCATTCACTTCTGTTAAACTGAGCAGTAATGCTTCACGTACATTAAATAAAATACACCTACTGAAAAGCATTAAAATAAATAAGCACAACAGAGTGGTCAGAGAGGATTAAGAGCCGTTTCCCTGTGCTTTGGCAAGAACTATCTGGCCAAACTATTTTCTCTGTAAGAGGAGACAGTGATTACAGATATGCTGCTTGACTTTAATTTCCAGAAAAATACCAGAACAATGATCAAACTCTTTGTAGGCATGAAGCCAGCACTGAGATGAGTAATAGCTTGCCATGGTTGCCCAATGCCAATCACACCACAAACAAGCCAGTTTCTACAGCAGAAATGAAACCTGGGGATGCCAGACTACAAGAGCTAGAAAAGCCTTGGGCTGTTGCTTCAGATGACACAGCTAGTGATGCCTACACCCATAAAAGGCAAAGAAAGCACAGATACAGAACTTGGAAAACCAGAAGTAGAAGATAGTTTACCCTCTAGCTGGAAAAAGGTATCCAGCAGAGTCCCACCAGGGTCAGATCTGAGTCCTGAACTGTTCAGTACTTGGGGAAAGAAGGAAAAATTGGTGCTTACTGAATTTACAGATGGTATCATGTAGCAGATGCACTGAACAACAGATGAGAGTAACAAATGCCCCTGACAAACCGTAAGCAGGACAGAGGACACCACAGAGGTCAGGGGGATGGAGTAGAGGACCTCTCAAAAACTCCTTTCTACTTTATCTTCCTATAATGCCATGCTTTGAAGCTGTGCAACTGATTAAAAATACTCCCTCTACCATTCATCTAAGTTTATTCTAATGAACCAATTATTCATTTAAAAATACCATAATTAAAAAATAGGATATTGTCATAAACACTAGAATACAAAGTTGTTCCAATTTTTACAGGTATTTTTACATAAACAAAACAGAGAGCAGCAAATAGCAAATAGACTCTAACAGCAAGTAGGAAGAATACATTACACATGTATTAGTGTTTCCTTTGGGAAACAACTGTAGAACATCAGTTGCTGATACTTTTAAACAATGCCATGAGCGAGATGGAGGTACCAGTGAAGAGCTCTGCACACATGGCCTGATGATCATCATCTATCAAAGAGATAAATGGGATGCTATCTGGGGGGTGGGGGGAAGGTGTGAAATGAAAATCTAGAAAACTTAACAAGAATTATAATTTCACCCCTTTTCAAGTCGATGGTGCACCCTCACCTTGAATACTGTGTGTGTCTGGTCCAGAAAATGTATTTATAGGCACAGGGAAAAAACAAACCAAAAATAAAAGTAGCAATGGTAACAATTATAAGAACAATGATTTCAGCACAAGGAGCAAATAAGCAAGATGGGCCTCTCCCATCTGGAGAAAAGAAAATACAAGCCATAAGTATCATAGGTAGGATGCAAAGAGATCAAGTGTTTAACTCTTCTCCCAGTAAAAATCCTCTAAGGAATCAGATGAACTGCTGGTGTTTAGGAAAACACAACACTGAAACAAGATCTGTATCACACAAAATGACTGAACTGCTCCAGAATACATGCCAAGCATATGCATAGGCAACTACCTCTCCTAATCGAGTATGTCGGAAAGCTATTACTGTTTTTAAAATCACGGCTCCTAGAAACGTGACTGAATTCCCAGTCTTGCAGGTTGCAGGCTCAAATGAAACAAAAGGAGCTGGACCTTCACAAAGCCTACAGCTGAGCTCTAGCATGTGCCACACCCCATCGCAAAGCAAATCTAAGGCTTTGGGTTCAGAAAGTAACAAGAGAGCCCTGCAGAAGAGAAAGTCATTAGGGCCATATATAAATCTAAATGCAAACCTACTTTCGTAACTCAGAAATAACCCTATAGTCACAAATGGACTGTAATCGGGAGCGTGTGGGGAAATATTCACTCTATGCCTCCATGTTTGCTTCGGCACCATGTCCTACCAAAAGCCAGAGGTCACCAGGCTGAAGGACCTTCAGCCTGATCCAGCCTAGTTCCTCTTACTGGGGTGCATACTTTGCTTCCCAGGATGAGCTGGGCACCTTCTGTTTCTGTAAGAGGTTCAGGATTTATCACAGCCACTGAGCATTTGAGAGTTACAGGTCCGTAGTGTGGAAAAGTCTGCTGAGCTACCACCACCACCAGTACCAAATTCACCTAGCTCCTTCTATCCTAGCGCTTCAACATAATCCCTTCCCTGAACATCAATTATTTGTTTTTCTTAACTAAACACAGTAAGAGCTGTGCTCAAATCTTTCAACAGAACGTCAGAAAAAAAAAAACCCCACACTCTTTTTCAAATTATTTTTAAAAAATAAATCCACGACCATAAAGGCAACATGCTGTCAGCCTGAACCTCCTTGTCTTCTCTGTCTTAAGTATCTCTTTGAAGCATTGAACTAAGTTGGAAAAAAGCTGTAAGTGCAGGTTAATCTATACATAGTTTTCCACTTCTGGAAGCAAACAAGGGAGGGGAAAAAGGCTGTGCAACCTTTACAAACATCTACGTGCATCAGATCTGGAAGCAGAACCTAGATCTGGCCTGGCATATATTTCACACTCAATGAAAACCCTCTTCAAAAACTTTATCAACATCAGAAACAAAGCAATTTAGAAGCAGCTTTCTACTTACTGGATCACAAATCCAAAGAAGTCAGGCAGAAAAACAACACTCAAAAGCTAAACTGGATACACAGGAGTTGCTGAGTCTTCATGGTGAAGATGAATTTGAAGGTGGCAGCATCAAGACAAAATGCACCCATCGGTCAAAGTAGCACAAAAACCAGACTGAGACTTTTAGAACAAAGAAACCCAGTACAGCATGCACAAGAAAAAAACATGGCCTCACCATGACGTGACAACACAGGTGACAAGAGTGTGGCTGGCCTCAAGACAACAAATTCATAAGAGGAGGAAGGGTGGGGGAAAAAAAAAAACCTCCCCAGAAATCTTAAACAAAGTTATGAGCTCTCCCTGGTCACCTGCTCCTAGTGCCACGCTGTGGTGGTTTTACCAATGTAATGCTGTTTGCATTCAGATGCAATTCTTCCGATGTCCATAAATTACTACCCTTCGAAGTACCCTACTGTAGAGGACGAGGGACCTTCAGTAAGGTCAGTCCTTAGGATGGCCAGGTTTGAAATGACTCTGACTGTCAAGATAAATAGTCTAACTTAAAAGCCCAAGAAAGCAAGAATTTAACAGTTCAATAATAAACCATTATTTCTGCCAGCAACTGCAAACTAACATCTGATTAATATTAGCTTCCTTTTGAAAAGTTAGACAACTAACAAAGTGACTATTTAATATATCATACATCTTAAAAAGGGGGGTGGTCGTGTCCTTCCCCTAGAAGATCACACATGGTTTTGGTATCTTAATTTTAGAGACATTTCACTCCTTTACCTATGACTATACAGTTTGCGGGGTTGTTTTAAACAAGACAACAAATGTCTTCTATTTCAAACTGTCTTACAGACCAATCCTTCTGAAAATGAAGAAACAGCCCTTGATCAAAGATGATGCCATTCCAGTCACAGCACACTTACAAAAGCACTGCATCCTTGCACATGAGCACGCTGCAGGCAAAGCTTAATTTTTTAAATGTAGGTAATCAGAGAATTAACAAACTAAGTAATTAATGGATACTCAATAATGAGGATCTATTGCTAAATACTTACAAGAAATGAGGTATTTAGCAATAGATTAGAAGGTATTGCATGATGTATGTTCCTAATTCTTTATCAAATCAACAGTGTCAATCTCTTTATTGAGAGTGATGTTTTGAAAAATAATACTGCAGCAGATTCTGGACTGCACAAAAACATGTGTGCAACCCTCACTCCACTACAAAACACAGGACATTTCCAGACACTTTGCATATATAGTAATATGTGCAAAACCGTATCAGGAAACTATAGCTGGTTTTGAAACCAGAGCTCCTGGAAACAAGACTAAATATTCACTCACCTCAAAATGTGAGAGTAAAAAACTAATAAAGGCATTTTATATTAAACACCAAGCAATCTGACGACTTAAAATAACTGGAGACACCAATGGAAGCAACAGCAATCTACCAAATGTATTCTGAAGCAGAGCACAGCCATAACACTAAAGATTGTGTCATTATTACTGCTCCTAAAAGAGATGAAGGTGTGCAGTTTTATTTCACAGCACTAAAAATTTAAAACAAGTTCTGAAAATTCATCCAGTTAGTACCATATTATTACAAATCTGCATTGCATCCAGCAATCTGACTGCTTGATGCTAGCCAGAATTACAGCAGCAGTACTTACTAGGAGGAAAAAATTAATTTGGCAGAAAAATTAGTTAAGCTTAACACATTTAACAAAATAAAATACATTTCAAAACATATTTGAGGCCAGCATCCAAGAACACTGTCGGTATTTTTCATCAACAAAAGCTTCCAGTTTGAAGAAGGTTGCAAACATTGTCCTCAATGGATGACTGAGATGAGGTGTTTTGTCCAGAGTCACATGAAGGAAGAGAAAACATTATTTTTCTTGCAGAGCTTTTTCAGGATGTGGTATAATCTGCAATGCCATGAGATATGGTGGCCTGTTCAAACACTGCTCACTGAGCTACTGCCCAACTTTACAGAAATGTTTTAATCCATTTTAGTTTTCCTTTTTAGTATATAAACAAATTTATTTATTTGCTAATTTAAAGGGTCATACTGAAATCACCTCCCTAATAGTAAGAATCAGTCACATGAACAAGTGCCTAGAACATTTACATGTCCAAACACTTTGTTTTGCTACAGTTGTGTAAAGTGGCCTCTAATTCTGCCAAAAGGACTGAATCAGTGTATCCTTTAAATATAATCAGAAACAAACCAGCATATTTTCCTTTTCAGTTAATTGCTGACAGCCACTGAAAATAGATCTGTTATGCTGGAGGCATGATGGACCTGTACTCCAAGGCAAAATAGGAAACAGCCTCTGAAGAGTCATCCTCGAAGCCCTTTGCATGGAATTTAAGCATACAATCAACTTGGCAATGCAAAACCAAATGATGGTTCACTGCAGAAGGAATTTTTTGGTTCCTCCACCTTGTCACGATCAAAAAAGCAGTCAAGCGCAACATATTCTCCTCCATAATGAAGAACGATCTGTCTTTTAAGAAACATGATGTCTTAGAATAAGTCTCACTGAACTGACAAACAGAAATTCTCCATTCATCTCCAATAGTCAGGCTTTCATCCCTTCTGTTCAAATCATGAATCAACACTGGGTGACTGACTCACAGGAAAAATATTTGTTCAAAGGTGGATTTTCTCACCCTTGTATCTGCTATTTGCCAAACTTAACTGCCGTTAAACAAAGGTTCATTTCTTTGTAGCTTGCCTCAAATGTTGCAATAAAGTCCCTAACAGGCATCTGTCACAGTAATTCTGATCAGTTGACTTAGTCTCAAGGCAGGATCCTGTAAAAAGAGGACACATGCAAAAGCACAGACAGAGCAATACAAGTCTCATGGCTAGGGCTGACAATTATCCTGACCTATATTCCTACATCTCTTCCAGCATCAACACTCCTCCTTAACCATTTCATCAGTTTCAGAAAAGGAGCTGCAGAGCTAACAAAGGCCAGTATTTGACTGGGATGTTAATGCTGAAATATCCACCAGTTTTAACCAGTACCTTCAGCTATCAGAACCCTGGTTGCCACAGAAATCAGTGCACTAATGAAACAGGGCCCTACATCCCAACGTACTGAAAAACCCTTAACCCAAAATACAACAGTAAAACTCTGGGTTTCCATTGCTCCTTAACTTACAGATATGTAAATCCTAAGTGCTTCATACACGACGTGTTAAAAAAAGTGACAGAGGCCTCAGTAAAAACATCATACATTAACTCCTCAACTTTGAACCTTTCTCTTTCCCATTTTTGTTTTTGCAGCACTGAAGTTCCTAGTTCCGAAGGTGAGCCTAACAAAAAGAAGTTACCCTTCAGAAAATGAGGGTATAAATGCATATAGTGCACATGATACCCTGTAGTAATCACTTATACAAACCTTTCACCCTCTCCCCAGTAAAGACAGCAAACCATGCCACACTTCACGGGGCGAGCTCTGGAACACCCACTATAGAGGATGAGTACACACTTCAAGAGCTACCAGCACCATAAATCCACACCCTCATTGGCTTTGGGGCAACTTGTTCATGCAGCCATTCCGTTCTAGGCGATGAAGGAGTTTTTATCTTACTGTGTTTCAAACATTTCTGCCACACTGCGGAGCTCCAAAATACTTCCCAGCTTTCAGTAGCAGGTGAACCTACTTTAAGATGCTTTAAAAGATCACCAGTACTTGTATGTAATTAATTTCTTTAAATCCAGATTCATTTCAAGAATAAGGTGGATAAGACCTACGTACACGATGCCACATTCAGTGCCTTAAAGCTAGCAGAAGTCAAGTCTCAGCCAGATATCTTTTAAAGTCCAAAACATGCCTGGATTTAGGGTTAGCAACAACTCCATTTCAAGCAGGAGGCTGGACTGGGGACCTCCAGAGGTCCCTTCCAACCCGAGCTGCTAGGAAAACTGTCAGCACCTGAACAGGACCAAGATGTTCATAGTCATAGCAGAGCCTAACCTGAATGTCCTAGCCCAAACCTTTAAGACAAAAAGTTGATGGGGTCAGGTGAAAGGATGCACCAGATTACTTAGAGAACAACTGCTGCATCTCCCAGAGCACCTTAAAAGAAGAGTGACTACTTCCCACTCCCTTGCCTTTTTCTTTTTTTTTTTTTTTAACTTCCTCTTTTTAAAAGATAATTTACTTACCCTGGAGGCTAACTTGCTATGCGGGATGGGTCGATGATCACTTTAAGACTTTAAACTCCTGGACCCTTTTCAGGCAGATAATGCATGCAGGAACACTGCAACTTCTGCTTTAAATGCCCAAGAAAGAGATGTTCCCATGGTGCTGTCCAGGCAGAAGTTGTGGAGAACTACGTACCCTCTCCCTCCTAGAAGCTCAGGAAAAGGAGCAAAAAAGCTCATAGGTTTGAATTTTTTCCTGTGACAGGCGTGAAATCAGTAGTTAACAAAACAGGCAGTGCAAAGCAACACTGAATCAGTCCAACCACCTTCAGCTCTGATAAAATACAAGTTGGCCCAGCTCTTAAATCCATCTATGGCACATTCATAAGAGGAATGACCAATGAAATTACTTATTCACACATATAAACATACAGGTAAGCTTCATCTTGCATCACGTATTTGTTAAAAATGCTCAGCAACATCCCTGTTACAACACTTGTTTTTGTAATTCTGCTTATGTAATAAATAAACAGTGCATTGAGCTAACTGAGACGACCCATCAAATCTGCAAGTTTAGAAAGTCAACACATCAGCAGCAAATCATCAAAAGTGCTTGTTCACAACATCCGTCAAACAGAACTGAGATCAATTTGCAGAACACTACGTTTCATCCCCTCAAAGTTCATCAACAGCAGTAACATTAACTTTTGGTAATTCACACTCTTCTTTGAAATGGCAGTTTTCCAGGATGTCCTTGTAATAGTCCTTGAGGTCTGCGTAAGTAGAGGTGGTCTCATTTGAGTGATGAAACAACATCGGTTTTTCATTCAACAGCATCTGCACTTGATACTCTTCTTTAGAGGTTTTCACTTGATCGCAGTGGTAAAGCACAAATACCAGATTGGCTGCATAAGGCACAATCCGGCCGCTGCGAAATTTCCGATGCGCTTGTCTGACGTAATTGTTTGCCTTGAGAGGCTCATCATCTTTGAAGAAACCCATAAGGGCAAGCAGTGGCTGAAGAGTCTCTGCATGTCCAACTTGTACAATCAAAGGTGAAGAAATGGGTTTTGAACTGAAAAAAGAAAAAAAAGCACAAAGGATGAGCAAGAGCCTGTGCTTCAAAACAAACATATCGACATATTACACAGCTGTCAGCAACGAAGGCTTAAAGAAGTAGACTTTGAACTTGTTTTACTCCAATGCCCAATAAAAACCTGTTTGGGAATTTCAGGATATTACAGACTTCTTTTAAAGCATCCAAGCTTCCTGAATTTTGTCCCAATTTAAAGTATTGACTCTTAAATAAAATGTAAGAACTTGAAATAAATGTAGTTAGGCTACAGCTAGAGCCCAGTATAAACATGGCAAGCAAAAATCAAGAAAGAGATCACCAGTGTGTGTTCACAGACTCAGTACGTTTCTCCGACACGCTCTGTGAACGTCGTCACTTGTGCTCTCTCCAAGGTATAGGAAGATCCAGTGACCATGCCACAGTTAATATACTGGGTTTGAATTAAATGTAAGATTTTTAAATGGCATTGCCTCTTCTCATCAGGAATTGGAGAGAAGGGAAACAAATCACCAAGCCAGCTGCAAGGCTTTGTTAACATACAAACCAAGCCAAGCCCTTCATCTGACATGACATGAGTCCCCTTCTACTGTCAGCACATGGGAAGGCTCAAGGACACTGCAGTAACTCATTACTTCTGTTAACACAGAACTATTGCAAATATAGTGATTTCCCCATCATGGGCTGTGTTTGGAAAAACTCCCTGAGATTTTATTTTTTTTTTTTAAACCAAATAAAATTTTTACTACAAGTTTCACAGATTTGCTTTAGTACAAACCTACAGGTAAAATATAACAGCTTTTCCCAGGATGCTGAGCTGTGTTTAACGGAATTGATTAGTCAGTAATTTTTTGTTGTTGTTGTTCCCTGGCAGATGCAAAAAGTACCTGAACGACAAAGCATAATGAAGCGAGATCATCCAGGACACAATCCACTTCACAAAGACCAATGATTTATTATTAAAACATAACCTTTTTCTTTAGCTATTCTAAATACTTCAAATGACACAGAATTTTTTATAAAGTCTTTTTAATAAGCCTCTGCCTAAAGTGCAGCAAAAAGAAGTCTCCACACTATCATCATTTTAGACTCGTAAAGTTTTAAAGTTTTCAGCAGTAATTTTGCTATATTTGAGGATCAAAAATATTTTCCAACTGCTGTAATAAAGGATAGGTGACAATTTTTATCTTGAAAATGAATTCAGTCTATAGTACAAACTTACTGCCACATTAAGAAACTACAGTAAACCCCTACTATACTACCCTCTGACCTAACTACAACCACAATTGCCTACATGAGCAAACAAATTACTGATTTCACATGCCAACTGCTTTCCTCCCTGGCACAACACCACCACCTGTGCAGGATTTTAAAGAGTTTCTTGCTTACCTTGATGACCACCAATGCTTTTAACTGCATATCACACTAGAACAAGAACTGTGCTCTGATAGCAAAATACTGCCCTTTTTTTCCTCTATAATAAAGTACAGGTGTTTAAAAAGTATATCAGCATTTACCAAAGTTTAGTCTGAAGACAGCGATCCAGTCGTTGGAGGAAAACAGTTGGCCCTCCGCAGTTTATTAGTCCAAGCAAGACTACCCGCTCTCACTAATTCTCTAGAATGCCAACTAGTCAAAAAGATGATTACATTCACTCAGCACACAGGCCAGCAAATTAAGCCACTGATTCACACCACGAACAGAGCCTAAAATGAAGACAGTTTGTGTGACAAAAGGTTACACATTATTCAACTAAAGGAAAGATAAGAGTTGGTTTACTGCAAGAGTTTTCATCAGCCAAGATGAAAATCTGCCCCTTGCTCCAGAGAAGGTTGATGGCTTTTTGGGACCATCTCCAAGTGGCACTCACAAGCCCAGGTCACTTGTTCGAGCAGATGTAAATACACATTTAGCTTTCATGAGACAAAAGGTGATGTTTGGCAACACTCCAGCTGCCAGTAAAGTTCACCCATAGATAAGACACATCTTGATTGGCCTGAAAAGGAGGAGTTTCCTCTGCTCCAGCCTACAGTCTGAAGCAACAACAACAAAAAAAATGCCTGTAGATTCGAACTTTGATCAGGTAAGTGGGAATTCACCCGGGCAGAGGATGGGCTCTGTACTACCAGCCTGATACAGCCAAGCTGTTTGTGCAGGCTGAAGCACAACCTTGCACTGTTCTGCTCCCCGGTGTGCCTGCAGCTCTTCTGCCTATACTCCTTAGACATGTGTGCACATACATGCATATAATCTCCCCCAAAGGCAAAACATCACTTAAATATACCAGAAACTTGTCTCTGTTTCCTGTTCAAAAGAAGCACTAAAACCACAGAAAGGTTCTATATGGTGAGCATTACGTTTTTTTCCACCCATGCCTTTGCTGCACCAAGAGGTGTACATTCACTGCAGACCCTCCTCCAGCTCCTACAAAACCAATGGTTCTGCCTACATTTCTCCCCTTGTTATTTATGACCCCTTCACTCATTTTAAAATTGTAAATCTTTTGGATCCTTCAACACCTTTCTCTTCCTTTCCCCTGCCATCCTTTGTTCTCTCACTCATTTGTCTGGTTCAGGTATATCCTTCCCCTCCACACACATCTTCAGGGAAGTACTTTCAGGCTTTAGGACACATCAACATCCTTCCTGTCAGTGAACACATAAGAAGAGCAGCACAAATCACACACCTGTAGAAGATGACAGAAGGCTATTCCTTTGACCTCCTGCAGTTTTCATCTCCTGGGCCAGATGTGGCTTCTATGTAATATAGGACCTCTCAGTGAATCTTTACTTTGTCAAATTTCTCAAATCCACATACACTTTTACCTTGCACAACAGCCTGTGGCAAGCAGTTGCACAGCTTCACACACTGCTCTTAAATATTTTCTATTTGTAGACGCTACATACCATTTAATCCTTTCTACTTACAGCACCGCAATAATATTATTTACAAGTTGAGAAATCCTACCTTAGTCATTGCACAGTTTTTCCAAATGACCTATATATCCTTTTAGATCAGAGTATTAGAAATGGCAATACTCAAGGCAGTAAGATACATCGTAAATCCATGCTGCCCCCATGACACTCTCTTAATTCACAACATCTCACACCTTTTCCAGTTGGCGTACGGAGGTTTGAGATACTTCCAGACAACTGTAACAACCTCAAAACTCAACTCCTGAGCAGTAAATTATGCCAGATTCTACCAGACATATGATAGTAACATCATTTTTACCATGTGGATTACTTCACAGATCTGCAGTTTTCAAGCCCAGTTAGTCTCACAAGGTCCTTCTACAATCCTCCTAGTAGAAACAATTTACATACTTATCTTCAATAAAAGTGCTGCATCTGCAATGCCACTTAACTACTCACCTCTCTTTCCCGGTCATTTACAATATGCTGAGCAGCCCAGATCCTTGCAGATCGACTATCACTAGCAACCTGTCTCTGCTAGGAAAATCAATCACTTAACCCTACCCTCCATTACTTGTATCTGCATTCATTTTTTTCACTCATGTAGGGCTCTCCCCTGTAACTCCCAACTACTTGATTTCTTCTGAGAAGGAAAACTGTTGAAAGATGTTTGGAAATCATGACTCTGTCTCCCATATCACCCTACTTGCATGCTTGCTGATCCTACCCAAGAGTTCCAAGAGGTAGCTATTCCTTTCAAAGAACCATACTGACACTACTCTGGTACATCATATTCATCAAGGTGCTTATGAATACCAGTATCAGTCCTTATTTCTACTAGACTGGCCTATAATTCTGATTTTCTCTTGGATCTGTTTTTTTTTTTTCCCCCCCATTTATTCTTTATTTAATTATTTGTGTCTAAATCATCACAGTTGCCAGCGCCCACAAGCTTCTTGGCTGCAGCCAGTGCAGACTGGCTGTTCTTTCAGCTATTTCATTCAAATTATTTAGCGCTCTTGGGGAAGTATCACCCAGCTCTAGTATCTTAGCATATTTTCATTTCATCCCAGCTGCACACCCTTATACCCGTGTCTGCTTCCAAATGTAGTGGCCTATTTTATAGTTTAGTAAGCAAGTAAGCTAGTAATGTAAATATCATCAAGTGGATTGGGTTGAAAGAGACCTTAAAGATCATCCAGTTCCAACCCCCTGTCACAAGCAGGGACACCTTGCACTAGCCCAGGTTGCCCAAAGCCCCGTCCAACCTGGCCTTGAGCCCTGCCAGGGATGGGGCAGCCACAGCTTCTCTGGGCAACCTGTGCCAGGGCCTCACCACGCTCACAATAAAAAATTTCTTCCTTGTATCTAATCTACACCTCCCCTCTTTCAGTTTAAAACCATTACCCCTCATCCTATCCCTACACCCCCTGATCAGGAGTCACTCTCCCCTTTCCTGCAGCCCCTTTCAGTCCTGGGAGGCCGCTCTAAGGTCTCCCCGCAGCCTTCTCTTCTCCAGCTGAACCCCCCAGCATTCTCAGCCTGTCCTCACAGGGGGGGCTCCAGCCCCATGATCACCTCCGTGGCTTCCTCTGGACCTGCTCTAGCAGGTCAATGTCCTTCTGATGATGGTGACCCCAGAGCTGGACAGAGCACTCTAGGGGAGGGGTCTCACAACTGGGGAGTAGAGGGGGAAAACTGCCCACCCCCCCCTCTGCTGCCCACACTGGTCTGGGTGCAGCCCAGCACATGGGTGCCTTTCTGGGCTGTGAGTGAACATTGCTGGCTCACAGTCAGTTTTCCATCCACTAATATCCCCAAGTCCTTCTCTGGGACTCTGGGCTGCCCCCCATCCACTGCTCACCCAGCCTGGATTTGTGCTGGGGATTGCCCCGACCCATGGGCAGGACCTTGCCCTTGGCCTTGTGAACTCCATGAGGTTTGCACAGACCCACCTCTCCAGCCTGTCCAGGTCCCTCTGGATGGCCCATCCCTTCCCTCCAGCATGTGACCGCACCACACAGCTCGGTGTCAATCCCGCTCAATCCCACTGTCCGTGTCACCAGTAAAGATGTTAAACAGCGCCGG